AGAGAGAGAGAGAGAGTGAGAGAGAGAGAGAGAGAAAACACACAGGTGCACTGAGAACAAAGAAATACGTTCTATAGAGAGTGAGACTGATAGAGTGTCTGAAGTAGTGAATCTATGCCAAAAGAGCAACACGGAGAAAAAAAAGAGTTAACGGTTTTGATGGATCTAACGAAAGGGGATGGACAACAGCTAGGAGCAAAGAGCAGTGTAGAATATTGCACATCGTCCGTGTTTCCCCAAAATTGGGCCAACACTGGTTTTGTTTTGTTTTGTTTTATTTGTTGTTGTTTTTTTTGGGGGGAGCAGGTCAAATTATGTTAAAACACAACAGTAACCTCATCACAATTGTTGATGTAATTATTGTATTATAATAATATGTGAAAAGAACACTCTTTTTTTTTGGTAAGCGTTTTACGGCGCTCGCAACTTGCATAAGGTCATATGAGCGTTCGGGACACTTGAAACTTTTTCAGTTTGTAGGAAATTTTGAATTTTGCCCTGGTGGCGGCCGAAGCCTACTCTTATCGATTTTAGACCACGAAGGGATCTTTAACGTTCGCAACTTGCCCCCGGGCCCTCCTAGATTTTTGACCGTTGTCGGAGAAGGCTAGGTGTAGATCTCCTGCCAGAAGATCAGGGGTGTGGCTGAAAGACAGCAGTAAGAAGGATCCAAGGAGTAGCAGTAGAAAGGCTGCAGAAAGAGTCAGGGGCCCAGAGGAGAGGGCAAAGGAGGTGAGGGGGTGGGGGCAGAAAGAAGAGACGAAAGCAGGCGAAAGTAGACGAAAGCAGAACATTGCCAGAGAGCAGGAAAGGAGGTGAAAGGAGACAATTTTAGAGAAGAAAATGTTTCGGTAGCTACCCGGATTCGAACCCGGGACCTTTGAATGAGATGCCAACACCTTAACCTCCAGGCCACAAGAGCCCCCAGACACTTTTTTGTTTCGAATGCTTGTTGTTGGTTTTTAATGTTTTTGGTTTTTGTTTGTTAGTTTGTTTGTTTTGCTTTTTTATTAATGTTTGTCCGTTTGTTTTTTTCTGTTTGTTTTGGGTTTGGGTTTTTTTGGTAGTGGTGGGGGTGGTGAGTTGTTTTTCAGTTCGTGTTGTTTTTATCGTTCACTTTTTCGTTTTTATTTTCGCTTTGTTTCTTTCCCGGGGGCAAAAAAAAGAGGGGGGGGTCTCGTAAGGTTTAAAAGAAAATTTGGTCGGGATGGGACCCCGTCACCTTTATGTTGAACTATTAAAACGCCGCGGAGAGGTTCCCGGTGCCAGTGTGCGGCTTGGGTTCTACTATAGCAGGATTACCTTCCGGCTTCCGGACTGCGCCGTACAGGTTTTATGTTTTTGACGTCATGAGACTTGATGTGAATAGGGGTCTATAGAGCTGGGCGAAGAATCGATTCCGGAAACGATTCCCACAATTAATGCTACAGAGGAAAAGTTCCGACTCCTTTTTACGTTAATCAACGGTTACCAGTTACTTTAATCATTGAAATCGTCTCTTTTTTTAAAAAAGAATTTATTTTGATAAATAAAAGGTGATGCTTCGTAGTGTTCCGAAATCAAGGTTATCCTAAATCCTGAAGATGTTCGGAGCTAACCTAGTAGCCACCGGAAGAAATCACATCATGAAATAGTAAGTACTTGGGTTCGGAGTCGAGTCCTGCGATTCCTAGCTTTCAATAATCGGGAAGCTAGCCGCCCAGCACTTACTAGTCTCCATTAGCTGCTTGCGTCGCGCGGCGATCGATCCGGCTGCTTGCCTCTTGGTCCAGCTCGTGAAAAGACGT